ATAAAATGTTTTCCTTTATAAGAGTCTTCATTATCATGGCATCTCTTAAAGCAACAGAAACTCTAAGACAAGCTTTCTTGTCAGTTTTAGGAACAGCCACTGCAATTATACCAAAGTCTTACTCCCAGAACTCTGTGATATCACATTTGTTTCACTAGTATAAAACCATAGTTGGGCATATCCTGGAGCAACAATTAAGTGACTCCCTTCAAACCCAAGTAACATGTTGGCCTTATGCTAAGAAAGGGATAAAAGAGGGGGTTTGAAGAAGGTTGGCAGAAGCTCACACCTTTTCTGTGCTATTGAGAGGTCAGATGGGAGATGCCACTGCTTAATGGTTTCACTTTGTTGTTGTCTCTTATGAGGTGTCTGAGAGACCCTGGACTGGCAGACTTGCAGAAGCTTGACCAGGGAAGGACTTAAATTGAACCTGGGCAAGCCTTCTTTCTTCAGCTAGTAGACTTTTGTTCATTAAACTGTTGGAACCATGAGGGGTAGAATACTTGATCTCTGTGATTTAGTTTTGTCATTCTCCTGAACTGGAACTCTCAAGGTGTGATTGGCAGACCTCCAGTTCTGAGGGTGGTGAGAACTATAGTAATAAAGAAATGTATATTTGGGCAGATGGATCAATGATTTCAGACTAGTCTATCTCTGTCTTCTCTCACTTGAATTTTCCATACCTTTTGAGAGCCTCCCAGGAGAACTTTGGAAGTATTGTGTTGAATTGTCCAGGAAATAATTTTGGAGACAGCACAGAGAACTGAGAGGAATCATGTTGTGGAAATTGGAATGATATAATTAAATAGACAATTTTTACCCTTGCTGGAGTGGAATGGTTAGCAGCTAGAGGCAGAAATGGAGAACTGTTTTTAGAAAACATTGCAATAGTGTAGGCATGAGAAGATAAGGGCTTAGAGCAGGATAGATGTTGCATGGATAGAAAGAAGAAAATTGATGCAAGAAAAACAAAGAAATGCAGTACATGCCACGGACAAATAACCACTTTAATGGGGTGACAGTGACAATAGACAGTCCATAGATGATGTCAGTTCAGCCTACTAAGAACACTGGGAGGTAAACATTCTACTTACCAAGAGGTGAAGAGTTACAGAGGTGAGGCTTGTAAGTTGCACCACTACTCAGCGGCAAGTTTTACTTTGAACCTCTGTAGAATCCCAGGAACCAAGAAATGTTTTTGGGAGGCTTGGTAGAGGAGATCATGAGGAAAAGTAGCAGACAGCTGCTTCCCTTCTGAATCTTAAGGTTGAGGGTGGTTTGTGGGAGGATGTGAGAAAATGAGTGGGCCTGGCTAATCAGGAAGGCAGCCAGAATGTGACAGGAGAGGTCGCCAACTGGATGCTTTAGGGGCTCTGAATAGCTCTGGTGCCTGAAGTATTAATTTCAAAGAAAACAAGTGGTAAAATCACTTTCTGCCATCATTTAAAATGGGTGTCAAAATCCTATTAAAAACCCGAGGATGACTGAAGACTCTGCACTCAAGAGGAAAAACAGTTTCTAGCTTTTGTAAAATAACTATTGAACATGTCAAGTATTTACTTTCCACTGCAGTTATAATGATGCTTCAGTATCTCTCATGGAGGGATGAAAGGGGGAGGGAGAAGCATTTATATAATGCAAAAAATGAAATTACGATGCCAAATATTCTTCATAACAATTTTGAGTCGGTTCATGAGCAGGTCTGTAGAGGCTGTTAAAATGTGAGATTACAGCAGAAAACCAATTTCAATATAAGCCTATGGAGATCCCATTACAATGTAAAAGTGAAATGTTGCCACTGTATGTTATACCTTCCCCCCAGAAATAGATAGGAAGCAATACAAACCCCTCACGCCTATGTAATATTTTTGTTTAGCAAGTATTCATTTATTGAGCAACATTCTCCAAAAGTAAACTGATAGAGCATTCCCACCTCAAGTGGCAGCTATCTAACCACCAATAATATTTTATTTAAAAAGAGTATGCTGTAAGTCACCTGGGTAAATTTTAAAGCAGTCAAATTCAAAGATCGGGCTATAACTGGCTAACTAATTGAGATTCAGATGTTTAGTGTACTCATGATCCCAGTCCTGGCAACATGTTAGACTCATACAGGGGATTTTAAGCGTTACCCATGCCTAAATTTTACACCACAGAAAGTCTAATTTACTCTTTGTGCTTGTGGATTCATGGTATCAGTATTATAATGTGCAATACTGATTTACATAAACACCCATAACCAGATTCAGCAGGGTCTGCTAAATGTGCCACCCAAAAAAATCATATAAGGAGATCTGCCAACAGTGAATAGAAACTGCATGCAAATGGATGCAGTGAATTATGCCAATTCCTCCCTCACCCCGGCTACTATATCCGCTTGGAAGTTTGATAGCGGAAATTTTGAGTAATGAGTGAGGGGTAAGGTGGGAGCATTTGAGGCTACTTAAGGCAGTTGCATTTATGGTCACTGGCACTCCAATTTTAACTCTTACTGAGATCCTAATAGCCAAGTTAAATCTGTTGCCTGACTCTAACAGGGTAACAGCTTTCTGGACCTGGTAAGTTCTCCCTTCTGCTCTGAATTTAAACAGGGGTCTTCATAGATTAGAGTTTAAGTTAATCAAGCTGTGAGGCTCCTGTTGGTGCATCTGGTCTTGTTGCAACCATGAGTTCCAAGTATGGGAGGTTCTTGTATCATTTCCCTGCCTCCGCATAAGCAATGTTAATAAGCAAATGCACACCATCATTGGCAATCAGTGCCATCTGAAGTTTTGAAGGGACTCTGGCTCAGGAAGACTTTATGTCTAGGAAAGTAGAATCCAGGGATTGAAGGAAGGTGGGTCTTTAATGACTTCAGGAGACACTAATCATGAGAACCTGAAACCTAGCATTGTGGACTGAGAAACTTCTGTATTCTTTGATTTTCTGTTCACAGCCCACCATTGCTGGATTAGTTGGATCATAGCCTCTAAGTGATTCTAATAAATCTCCCTACACACACACACACACACACACACACACACACACACACACCATGTATATATTCATTCTGTAAATTCTGCTACTCTAGAGAACCCTGGCTAATACAGATTCTGGTACCAGAAGTGGCTCAAGAGTAACGGAAGTATAAGGATGATTCTTACAAGTATCTGGAACAGGCCTTTCAGTTTGCCAATACCAACAAGTACCAAAGCTTCTCCAGTTACTGAAGTCTCTCCTAGAAGTTTGGATTGTAGTAAAGCCCATGATATAAGCTGTTTTACAAGCTTACGGAGACAAATGTGTTCAATTACTCTGATTCAGTGCTTGTGGGGAGCAACATTTGGTGACTCGGTATATAAAACTTTTCACAGTTTATGGAAAAATAAGAAAAATGATGCTGCTTGTTGGTTGCTCTTAGCATCCCTGGATAAATTGATAAAGGTTAGGAATGAGGTTCATGGTAAAACCAATGAAGTTAATGATAAAATTGACTGGCTCCAGATGCACATAAACAATCTAAGGATGTCTAAGTCCTGAAAGAGAATCTTCTCTCCAACAGCCAGAGCTCAAGCTGCAGAAAATCAAGCCAAAGCCCTCATTACAAGGTTGGCTGAATTACAGCTAAAATTCATCTCCTAGCCTCAGAGATTACTATGGGGACATTAGGTTGCTTCTCCACAATGGAAATAAGAAAGACTATATGTGTAGAGTGCAGGGGATCCTTTAGGATCCTGATGCTATGGCTCCTGTGATTAAAGTTAATGGGAAACTACAACAGCCTAATCCAAGCAGGATGACAAAGGACCCAGACCCATTAGAAATGAAGGTATGGGTCACTCCTCCAGGAAAAGAATTAAGACCTGCTGGAGTACTTTTGAGGTTGGGGGAAATACAGAGTCGGTGGAGGAAGATAGTCATAAATGCCAACTAAGGCCATGTGACCAGTTACAGAGTGTATTTGCTATACTTTATTAAGAATATTTTTGTACAGATATTTGTGTTTTCTTTCAATTTCTTTATCATGTGATGTAACATAAATTAAGAGATTATCAATGGTTATAATATTTAAGTTTGAGATACTAAAGGAGTGTCTCCCAAGAGACAGTTCTGCCTATTCTAAATACCACATATGTTTGCAGTTGTACAAGGGACAGTTATATCATGTTAGGCATAATTATGATCTGGTTAAATATATAATGTGTTTTCAATCACAAATGGGATAGTTATATTTAGGTATTATTATAACCTGGTTATTGTTTTCAGTTGGAAATTAACCATGACATAAGGAGACATGATGATGCATTAAGCTGACAAGGGGTGGGCTTATGATGGCTATTCTTGGTTGTCAACTTGATTATCTCTGGAATGAACTACAATCCAGAAATGGAGGGTACACCAGTGAGAGTGTGCTTTTGCCTGGTTTGAAGTGTGTTAATCCACTTTTCGTCTGACATTTTAGGTAAGAAGACTCCTACCTTTGATCCTGATCTTGAGGCAGGAAGCTGAACCTTTAATCTGGGCCACACCTTCTGCTGGAAGCCAATAAAAGAATATGGAAGAAGAAAGCTTTTGCTCTTTGCCTGCTTGCCCTTGTTCTGCTAAAAAGTTCATTCCTTCGCTGGAATTAGAGCTTTGGGATTTCAGTGTCTATTGAAGACCAGCTTAAATTATATATATATATGCATGTATATATGTATATATATCTTTACATACATATATATAAATACATATATATGTGTATTTAAAGATATTTATTATATAAATTCTGCTACTCTAGAGAACCCTGACTAATTCATTTGGGAACAGCTGAGAGAGTCTAATCACTGCTCTCTTTTCTGTCTGTGTTGTATTCGTTAGACTTTCTTTTCTCCATAATGGCCTTCTGTAGTTAGACTAGCTTATACACAGTTATGTTTACCTCTGGAACAAGCTGAGGACATGAACAACATACCTGGAAAGTGTTATGCCCTCGTTATGAGCCCCCAAGAGACTACCAAGAGTTCAGGTTCATGTGCAAAAGCAAAGAGCTTTTATTGCAAACTCAAGCTTGGGCCTTCTGTCTACTGTGATACAGCAGTTGGATCAGGGAAAACACTGAGCTCATCTATGTCAGGGATTTTAAGGAGTAAAGAATGTGGGCATGGGGGAATTCCAGAATCAGATGGGGGTTGAATGTCTTATTGGGCAAGAGTAGGGCAACAGAAGTCCTGTCAAACAGGGATTGCTACTGACATTGCTGCAAGGAGATTGGCAACCTATATACAAGTTAGGTAAGCTATCCTTAATGTTTTGGAGCATCTAGTACTTGTTTGTCTCAATTCTGATTGGTCCCCCCATAGGGTACAGTATGTTTATTCTTGTTATTGTAAGAGTGAGACCTAGTCCCAATATTGTTTGTCTGCAACCTGTCATAGCTATACTAATGCTATCTTAGGCCACTTCACCCCCACAAGAAACTAGAGAGGACCCAATCATGGGTTCTGTGTGTCCGGGGTTCTAAGGGAATACCTAGACCATCACACATTACCCCTTTTTTCCTTCATTTAGGATCATACCATGATTGCAAGGTGTCAACCCAGTGTTGCAGCACCTAGATGGGTCAACATAATGAGTTTTATTATGTACAGTCAAGGTTTTATTTTTGCTGGACTACCCTGGAATGATTGACATGTAAGTAACAGGTTTTTCCTAAAAGGAATTTATCTTTGACTTAGCATTTTCATCCTGTTAAGGGGACAGGGATGATGTACTTTATTCTGTAACTGCTTCCAGCTGAAATTGGGATGTTGGCTGTCAGGGCCCAGGTAGGCTGAATGTCTAGTCAAAGGCTGGGCAATGGGGCGTTTATCAGAAACATCTGACTAGCTCTTCCAGGTGAAAGGACACTGAGCAATCACACCAACTGGATTGGTTCACAGCAGCTTTCAGCAAGTCCAGAGATCAGCAGTTTTGCAGTCCACAAGGTGCTCCCTGGATGGTGTCTGTTAAATCTGCTGAGACAAACATAGTTAAAATTTTGGAGCTCAAAAAAACAACCTTATATTTGGAGCTTTTATTTATCTGGAGTCCTTTTGACATTTGACAGGTGGGAAAACCCTTATGTCCTTTTTAGCTTTTTGATACTTATATGATTTTTTTAGTTTACCAAAGATGATACAAGTTCTAGATTTATTAGCATTTCATTGTACTTTTAGTCAAGTTTGTAAGCTACACAGATTATATAAGATTAATGTCCAAGACCAATTGTCCTGTCAATCTTTTATGTTTCTTTGACTATTAAGGGCTGAAACCTGTTTATTTTTTAATGTGAAGCCATGAGCAAGGCAAATCTGTTTGTCTTTTGTTAACAAGAGACCTAGTTATCTAGCTAACAAAGCTACAGCTAACTTAGCTGTCAGCGTGAGAGATCTGGAAAGGATTAACCAAAATAACAGAGGCTAGTTCATAGTCTTTACCTAAACAGATATCCCAGACTCCAGTGGTCTTCATGGTAATGAGGGCAGAGGTATTAGAACAACAGTCTTGGTTGCCAAGCCCATAGGATGAGAGGCTTTCCTGTGGAGGAGGAACATGGAGAGATTGGTCTTATCTTGTCTAGGCAAAGTGGGGCATCAACTTTCCAGTGTCCTGTTTGTTCAAAGTTTGGTTTGAGACTTGGCAGAATGCAAGTCATTGGGGGCAGCTGGTTAGCATTATCATAGTCCAGGTGGAGTTGTTCATTGCTGTATCCATTGTCTTCTTTGAGACCTTGGGAGTCTCTGTTAGGATCTGAGAGTCCTTTGTAAAATTTAAATTAAAAACAGTCTTATTTTACATACCAGTTTCAGTTCCTCCTCTCTTCTGTCCTTCCACTCCCTTCTCCTACCATCTCTCCATCCCACTCCCTCATCTACTCCTTAGGGAGAGTGAGGCCTTCCATGGGGAATCTTCAAAGTCTGTCACTTCAAATGGGGCAGTATCCCTGTATCTAGGCTAAGCAAGGTATCCCTCCATAGGGAATGGGCTCCAAAAAACCATTTTATGTACTAGGGATAAATACTGTTTACACTGCCAGCAACCCCATAGACTGCCCAAGCTCCGCCCCCACTGACACCCATGTTCCCATAGACTGCCCAAGCCCCCCCCACACTGACACCCATGTTCAGGGGACCTAGTTTGGTCTTATACAATGGAAAATAGAAAGCATATTCAACAAGTGGTGCTGGCATAACTGGATGCTGACATGTAGAAGAATGCAAATAGATCTATATCTGTCTCCATGCACAAAACCTAAGCCCAAATGGATCAAAGACTTCAGCATAAATCTAGCCACACTGAACCTCTTAGATGAGAAAGTGGGAAGTGTCCTTGAATGCATTGGCACAAGGGACCACTTCCTGAACATAACATCAGCAGCACAGACAATGAGATCGACAATTAATAAATGGTACCTACTGAAACTGGGAAGCTTCTGTAAGGCAAAAGACACAGTCAACAAGACAAAATGGCAGCCTACAGAATTGGAAAAGATCTTTACCAACCTCATATCTTACATGGGGCTTATCTTAAAAATATACAAAGAGCTGAAGAAACTAGACACCAAAAACACCAAATAATCCAATTAAAAATGAGGTATATATCTAAATAGAGAATTCTCAATAGAGGAATCTCAAATTTATGGAATTGCTCAACATCCTTAGCCACCATGGAAATGCAGATCAAAACAACACTGAGATACTATCAGTGTTGTACCTGTACCTGTCAGAATAGCAAAACTCAAAAACATCAAAGGCAGTTTTTGCTGAAGAGGATGTAGACTAAGGGGAATACTCCTTCATTGCTGGTGGGAGTGCAAACTTGTACAGCCACTTTGGAAATCAGTATGGGGCTTCTTAGAAAATTGGGAATCAATATATCTCAAGACCCAGCAATTCCATTCTTGGGCATATACCCAAAGGATGCACACTCATACCACAATGACGTCTGTTCAACTATGTTCATAGCAGCATTATTTGTAATAGCCAGAACCTGGAAGCTTATACATTTCTTGAGTGCCATATTCAACAAATCTTTGACAGCTTGAGGACTTTCATCAAACTAATATTTTTTTGTTATTTGTTTTAGGTTATACCTTGAAAACATTTAAGAGGGTAGATAAATTTTTTCCTATACTTGGTTAATTAGTCATTGGCATGACTTATAAGTATAGTTCTGAACATCTCAAGGCTTAATCATCTTAACAGTTTATAATAAAAATAACAGTTTCTGAACTGAAGATGTTTTTAGTATTGAGATAAGACTTTTAACTTATAAACATAGTCTACAAATAGATTGGGAATTTTTCTGATCCTTACATAGTATGTAAACTCTTGACATGCAGGTGACCCTAGGCTACTCCTGTGAAAAGATCTTTTGACTCCCAGAGTCTTGAGATTGAAAAACTGCTTCAAGTTGTTTGCCAGAATGTTTAAGGTCACTGTCTTATTGCATCATAATATAGAAATATTCCAGTGTTTGGTGCTTAACAGTTGTGGCCCTATCTTTAGTTTGTCAGTGACTACATTGGGTATTTGGGATTCCGGTGCAGGACTGAGCCTTTTTTGGGGTGAGCCTGTAAACATTAAAAAAACATGTTTGGGATTGACATTTTTCAGTTGATAAAAACAGTTAGTCAGAAGCAGAACTAAAAGAGTTAAATAGCAAGGTCGAAACATTTGAATACTTGCCCAGAATTATAGACATTGATGGATTAGGTCTTTGTTTTAAAGTTAACTATGTAGTCTTCTGATTATTAACCCTGTGTTTAAGCTTTGAGTTAGTCTTTTTGTTACAAATATTACAGATTTTTAACCATGTACAATAAATATATAAACCAATATTTTTGGATATTCTTTTATTGTTTTTCCTGTCTATCAATTTTTGACCCCAGAAATAGAGACTAATGAGCAAGTCTGGGTCTGAAAAATGGTAGCCATAACCTGATCTCAGAGACAACTTTTTAATAAAATAGAACAGCATAAAACAACTTTAATGTTATCCATACTCAATTGACATTTGAAGCTCTATTACGTAAGTTCCAATAACCACAATGCCCAGAGGTAAATTTTGAATCTGCATGGCTGGCTGCAACAGTTAACAGCTCACCTGTAACCAAGACATACAGAACATAGTAAATTAATACATTCCAGTCAGGCATAAACATTTAGTGGCCACATCCATGCATTCAAACATTAAAGCAGACAGACAACATTTTTAAAAATGCTTTTTAACTATAATTTGAAGGAGGGGTGTCCTGTTACCTCTTGGCTCCATTTTTTATTGGCACCAGGGGAAGCTGCCCAGAAGCCCAAGCACTGTATTCTGTAACCACACATTGTCACTGATTTATTTCAGGTTGTATCTCTGGGCACTAGTGATACTCAGTTTAAAGGAGCTGTGGAGGCAGTGCTCTGATAGCAGAGGCTGTGTGTCAGTTTTTATAAAAAAGCCACCTTTTTTTTGGAACATGAAACATAGAGCAACAATTAAGCAACTAAATGAAGCTACAAAGTGACAGATATGGATAGACTGCTGTTCCAAGGACAATCAACAGAACTCTTGAAAAAAGTCAAGAATTAGAGTCATGGGAGTTGAATTACTTGGCTTCTGTCCCATAATGTCAGTCCTGAGTGTCAGACACAAAACAAACAGTCCAAAAGCAATAAAGCAATGCAGATTGAGAAAAACCAAAACTAAGAGGACTGATTCTCACCTATCAGGGGATGCGACACCACCTTGTCTATTTAGGGATTCAACCCTGTACAGAAGGGTGCTGGGAAGTCTCCCAGTTCTCTATCAGAAGGGTCCTGGAATGTCTTCCAGTCCTCCAGACTGCATTCCTCCTGTGCATCTGCTTAGACACTTTGCAGGCAACTCATAAATGGGCCAGTCAGAGTACAGAGTACAATGCAAGACAGAAACAAAGTGAAACGTGAAACCAAATGAGACAGACAGACACTCATGGGCCAGTTGAAGGCTCCAACTGGGTCCCAGTGGGTCTGGGCAATCTGGGGTGAGTCCCTAAGAGACCACCAGGAGTCTGAGTTCATATGCAAAAGCAAAGAGCCGCTATTGCAAGCTCGAGCTTGGGCTCTTTATCCATTTCGACACAGCAGTTGGATCTGGGAGAGCCCAAACTCGAACTTGCAAAAAAGGTTCTTTGTTTTGGTATACAAACTGGGACTCCTGGTATTCTCTTGGGGCTCACAACATGGGCTTAACAGAAGGAAAGAGGAAATGAAGGAGATTCTGATGAAATACTATGAGTGATGCTCATTTCTAGCCCTCAATCTTGAATTCAATAGTTAGGAGAGTTTGTCTGGGTATATGATAAGATCCTCAACTAGGATCTTTTTTTTTTTTTTTTTTGGTTTTTACGAGACAGGGTTTCTCTGTATTGTTTTGGAGACTATCGGTGCAGCCCGACCTCGAACTCACAGAGATCTGCCTGCCTCTGCCTCCAGAGTGCTAGGATTAAAGGCATGCGCCACCCCCCTTTGGCCTCAACTAGGGTCTTCATGGAAACTTTTGTCTCTTTCAGCAAATCCTTTGGGGCTTGTATGCAGAAATGAAACTAGAGTGTGATTTAGTATAGGCACACAGAGAACGGATTTGAAAGTATCCTCTTTACCTTGATATTGTTCTTGAATTTTCTTACATTATGACCAACGCTCCAGAGTCCATGTGATGACAGTAATGAACTCTGAACTTACTTGTCTTATGCTTATTCTGTGTCTCCCGCAATGAGCTCATCTCTATTCTTCTCTCCCCCTCCTTTTCTCTCTTTACTGGTGAGTCTCTGTTATATCCCATCAACTGTATTGTATGAGCCATGATTCTCTAGAGTCACAAGACATACGGAAATGAATCTTCATTTTCTATATCTGTATCTATCTATCTATCTGTCTGTCTGTCTGTCTTTCTGTCTGTCTGTCTATGGAACTGATTGGAATTGTTTACAACTTGCAGTCCAACTAATCCAACAATGGCTAGCTGTGAATGGGAAGTCCAAGAATCTAGAAGATGCTCAGTCCCACAAGGTTGGGTGTCTCAGATGGTCTTCTGTTTATGCTGGAATCCGGAAGAAGTGGGCACTAATGCCAGTGAAGGAATGGATGTTCTGGAAAGGTGAGGGCAAGCAGGCAAAGACCAAAACTTTCATCTTCCATGTCCTTATATAGGTTTCCAGTAGAAGGTGTAACCTGCATTTAAGGTGTGTCTTCCCACCTCAAGATTTGCATCATAGGTGTGCCTATGACTGTAGTTCATTCCATATATAGTCAAGTTGACAACCAAGAATAGGCATCATATGTATTAAGTGGTGCGTATATGAACTTGATCCCCATGTGAAAGAAGAAGGAAATACATGTTATTAGAGAGAATGTAATAATTTCCTTATAAGATAAGGAAAAAACTTGCCTTCTTAAAGTGTCTAATTTGGATTAGAAAAGACTTAAGCAAAGATAATATTGAATGAGTTTTGAAAAACTGAGTTTTATAAAAATTGAAGTAGTAGATATGAAATTCACAATAATATACTACTTCTTGCCTTTTCCCACAACTATATGAAACTTTGCAGAATAGCCTGAGGCATCTCAAACTGAAACCACAATTTATACCTGGGCACTTGATCTGTGGTTTCATGTGATAATTTCATCTTGGCCTTAATATATTTATTTATGAGGTTTTCTGAAAGCAAACAAACAAGACACTTTTCTCTAAGCTTCCCCATCTTGAAAATATCTTCCAGAACAACAAGCAATGAACCAACCAGAATCTACAACTAGCAATTATTTTTACTGTATGTATATATGTATGTGTGTATGTATGTGGTACACCATGTATACATATGGAGTAAGTTTTCTCCTTCCATCATGTAAGTTCTGGGTATCAAACACAGGTCACTTCACCAGGCGTTTTGGTAAGTGCCTTTACCTTTACCCACTGAAATATCTCTCTGGCTCAACGCTTTTTTAAGAAAATATTTTTCTAAAAATACATTCTACTATGCATATCTGATGACTCTTGCTTGGCAATCCTTACCAACTTTTAAGCATATAGTCTTTGTGGAAGGGTTGCCCAGTGAGCTGAATATTGTCCAAAATGTAGTCTAATCATGCAATAGATAGACAAACAGTGCTTGAATGAGTATATTGGTGGACTGTGAAATTAACTTCTATTGTTCTCCATTGCATTTTAACAAAAAATTCCACATGTTTTGTAATTTGGTGAGAAAGGATTTGATTAGAGTATGGATCTGCAAGGCAGTTTTTAAATTGCTTGAATATGTGTCTTCTAACCTCCTGTGAATGTTGGTTAGGGTTGTTAATATTGGGTTTTAAAGTCTTGATGTTTTGTCTTGTTGACTGTTCTCAGTTTCAGGAGGTCCCATTTATTAATTGTCGATCTCAGTATCTGTGCTACTGGTGTTATATTCAGGACGCTGTCTCCTGTACTAATTTGTTCAAGGGCACCCCCCACTTTCTCTTCTAAGAGGTTCAGTATGACTGGATTTATATTGAGGTCTTTGATCCATTTGGACTTGCGTTTTGGGCATGGCGATAGACATGGATCTATCTGCAGTCTTCTACATGCCAGAATCCAGTTATGCCATCACCATTTGTTGAAGATGCTTTCTTTTTTACATTGTAAAATTTTAACTTCTTTGTCAAAAACCAAGTGTTCATACATGTGTTGGTTAATAACAAGGTTTTCAATTAGATTCCATTGGTCTACCTGTCTATTTTTATGCTAATACCAAGCTGTTTTCAGAACTACAGCTCTATAATAGAGCTTGAAGTCAGGGATGGTGATGCCTCTGGACATTGCTTTGTTGAACAGGGTTGTTTTGGCTATCCTGGGTCTCTTGTTTTTCCATATAAAGTTGAGAAGTTCTTTCAAGGTCACAGTAAACAAGACAAAAAGGCAGCCCACAGAATGGGAAAAGATATTCATGAACCCCACATCTGACAGAGGGCTGATCTTCAAAATTTACAAAGAACTCAAGAAGCAAGTCAACAAAACACCAAAGTATCCAATTGAAAAGTGGTCTACAGAACTAAATAGAGAATTCTCAACAGGGGAGTCTAAAATGGTTGAGAGGCACTTGAGAAATACTCATTATCCCTAGCCATTAGGGAAATGCAAGTCTGAGATACCATCTTACTCCTGTCAGAATGGCTAAAATCAAGAACACCGAAGACAGTTTATGCTGGAGAGGATGTGGAGAAAGGGGAACAATCCTCCACTGCTGATGGGAGTGCCAACTTGTCCAGCCACTAGGGAAATCAATATGGAGATTCCTCAGGAAAATGGGAATCAGTCTACCACTAGACCCAGCAATTCTACTCTTAGGCACATATCCAAAAGATGCACATTCATACAACAAGGATATCTGTTCCACTATGTTTAA